AAAAAAAAAAAAAAAAAAAAAAAAAAAGAGGAAAACCGCCGAGAGTGGACGGGAAGTTTCCTTGGAAAGCTGTCTGAAAGATTTCCTCGGAGGGACGCTGGAACCTCCCCGTAATATTATAATGACAATAATGACAATAAAAAAGGCCTGAAATATTCGACAGTTTTTTTTGTTTTTTTTTTTGGGAAATCGAGCGGTATTTGAATTGGGTGGGCAACGAGGAGGAATCTTCCGCGCACCCACCCCCAGGATGCAAAGCGGTCCCCACCTCAAGGAATGGTGAACAGATCGAGAGTTCGACACCTGCACCTATGAGCTTAGGGCAGAACGGAATGGGGCGTTTCCAGATTTGGTCTCCCTCTCATATAACTTCACGGCGCATGACTATAAATAGCAACTGTGACCATCCCAAAGCGGACTGCCCTTCGAAAGCAGCGAGAGTTGGGAGGTAAGGACGAACGGCGCGAGAGAGAGAGAATTAAGTGTGTACACACACACAGAGAGAGAGAGAGAGAGAGAGAGAGAGAGAGAGAGAGAGAGAGAGAGAATTGTGTACACACACACACACACACACACACACACAGAGAGAGAGAGAGAGAGAGAGAGAGAGAGAGAGAGAGAGAGAGAGAGAATTAAGTGTGTACTATGGGAGTAACGTCGCGGCAGTGTTGCCGTTTCCTCCTCATCCAGGACTAGATCCTTCTTCGCTTGTTCCGCGGTGACAAAAGAGCTGCAGTTCTGACACGGAGCAGCGATGGATGGGCCGATCGGTTGCATCCGTCCCGTACATGGGGTTTTGCATCCGCACGAGCTAGTAGCTACGATCCCAGGTGTCAGAGCGATGGCGGAATCTACCAACGGTCCTGGCGATGGATGCAGCTACCTTGATGAGAACGTTTGCGGTGGCCACGCATCGTCTTCACGAGAAGCAGCTAACAACAGACTAGCAAGAGGTGCGGAAGTGTCGAGTTCTCTCCCTCTCAAGGACTCCTCCCTTCCCTCTTCTCTCGCTTCGGAGACTCAGCTGATGGATCTCCCAGAGGAGCTGATATGCGAAGTGATGGGGATGCTTCCTGCGGCTGCTGACGTGTCGACTGCTGCAAGTGTGTGCTCGGGATTCGCCCAAGCAGCGCGCTCCGATCTGACCTGGCAGCGGTTGATGCCACCTGCCTGCCGTCGGCTGTTAAGCGAGAGACTCAGTGACAATACTCCGTCGACTGAGAGTCCAGCGCTTGCGGCAGCAGCAGCAGCAGCAGCAGCAGCAGAGGAGGAGGAGGAGGAGGAGGGAGATGAAAGTGCCCGCCAGAAGCCGACAACAGAAAAAGATCGTGCGACGTCCTTGTCTACAGCAGATCGTTGTGCGACGAGAACGTCGGACGCTTGTTCGACTGCCACGACTGGGCGATCCGCAGAGTCCTCTAATGCAAGACAACGCTATCGGCGACTGTGTGAGGAGGGAATGCTCGACGACAAATCGCCTTACGTGCTTTACAAACTGGACAGGAGGACGGCCGCCATAGCCGCCTGCTTCTCGGCAGTCGGGATGAACGTGAGTTCGACGGAGGATTCATCATTCATTTTGGACTCCTTCTGGGAGGGGAGGGGGGAGGGGGAGGAGGAGCTATGGAGCAGGCGAGGCGTCGAGGGCAGCCTCTTCGAGGACGTGGTCAGGATTCCCTATCAAGGACTCTTCGGTAGAGCAGAGGTTAGCGGCAGGTTTGAGTGCGCTCTGCCTCCTGGAAGATACGAGTGTTGCTGTCGATTACGCAAAGACGACGATGAAGGCTCAGACACGTCACCGTTGTTCAGACGCCCGCCTAAGGTCACTTTGCAGGTAAACGGAGGGCCAGTATCTGAGCGGCGACTGAGCACAAGCAACATACGACGGAGGATGGGATCCCGACAACACCGGTGGGTAGAGAAGAGGACCGGACTCGTCGTCGAGCTGTCGCCTGCCAGCCAAACCCAACAGGAGGGGGAGGACAAGACTGTCAAGAAGTCGATCCCCGACGACAGTTTGGTTCCAACCTGTGTTCAGTTCAAACTGGAGACAGAGCGAGGTGATGGTGGTTGGTTTCTGGACTGCGTGCTGCTCCGCTCAGCTGAATCGACAAGCATGGAGGAGGAGGAGGAGGAGGAGGAGGAGGAGGTGGAGGTTGCAGAATCCATACCCCTTCTTGCCCCGCGTTTCCCCCTCCTAGGGTCGATCTGTCTGTTCCGTCGATGTGTGCAGCAGCAGTATGAACTGGTCGATTGGAGTGTGTATGCGGAGAGAGTCGAGCCGAAGAACACGAGAGAGGAGGATGTGGCTCCGATCAGGTCGTCGCGTTGGGGACTTTTGAGGTCACCGTGGGCGACGATGCATCGTCGTCGTCGTGAGGTCCTTTCTCCCCCAGCCAGAGTAATGAAGGGGTTTGCCACGTGGCCGTCCGTGGGCGGTCCGGCGGCATCAACGGCGGAGAACCACAGCCGTAGACCTAATCCGTCGGAGCAGGAGAGGGCAGATTTCAGCCCACGGCGGACGGCGGGAGCTTTGTTGGGATCCCAGCCGGGCTCCACCTGTCAAGAATCCGGCAGATGGAGGCATAGGAGAAGGAGGAGGATGCAAGTACTGTTTTTGGGAGGAGGATGCAAGTACTGTTTTTTTTTTTTTTTTAATAACGACTCAAATGTACAGATATTGCCGGGGTCGGGACGGATGTACTTCATTCCACGTTGAGATCTGAGAGGTTTTTAGGAGGAGGATGCAAGTAGTAGCTTTTTTTTTTTTTTTTTTTTTTTTAATTGCAAGTAGATTTTCAAATAGGTGTCATCACAATACTACCCCTCCGTTAAGAAGGGTTAACACAAAAAAGAACTGTGCTCTTTGCTTTCCTACTGGGCTCACAGAACGCATTTTTGTAAAACGTTGGCTACCCCCTCCTTGCTACGTGATTGTGGACTTCTCTCCCCCAGCTTTGGCGGGAATGATTTTGGCGGGAATGACCTTGGCGAGAACGATCCACTCGGCTGGGTTAGCGGGAAGAAGGGGATGGAGGTTATTACCAATAGACGGGAATGAACTTGGCGGGAACGATCTACACGGCTGGAAGTAATAGTAAAGTTGAAGTAAACTGATTAACTGGTGCGAGTTAATTTGTTAATTGCGGGAAGTTGTTTAATTTGTTAAAAGTTGTTTGATTTGTTAAAGGTGGTGCGCGTCAGAGGCGGGAAGTTTCGGTCCATTGTTGGCGGGAATGATTGATTGGTATAGCCAAAGGTGTTGTGGTAGTTGGTTTTTGGTGAGGGAGGGGAAGGAGAGGGTTGGTTTTCTTTTTTTTTTTTTTTTCTTTTTTTTCTTTTTTGATGGGACTAGCGTAGCTTAAGCTATGGATCTTTTTCTTTTTTTTTTGTATAGCTAGGAATCCTCAGCTGCCACTGTGAGGGCATACTCAGACTCGGACTTGTTCACTTATTTATGGGCGTAATTGCTGTCGGATGCATCCGCGTCCAGCCGTAAATTCGGTCAGATACATTTAAGATAGCGCAGGTGTGAGGACACCCTGAGATGTACTCTTATTAGTCTGCGTCCATAATTACCCACCCTTTTTTTTTTTCTCTTTTTCTAGTTCCTTTATGGGAAATGGTTTCTTTCAGGAAAAAAGAGCAAACAGCTGGGCAGGAGGGGGGGGCGGGGGAAGATGTTAACACAGACTGTAATAGTACAGTCTTCCCTCGAATACAACGTACGGTCATTATAGCTGAATTTAGCCCGAAAGATACACCTGCAAGGAAGATGAGCATTAGCGAACTCCAGCAATCACACAGCATCATACATATATGTCCAGATAGTCTTGACCTCGAACCAACAGCAGTCATGCATCACGAGTTTTACCAAATCAGAACACACCAATAGTTCGTAATTGACAATGCTGAAATAGTCTCTCATCATCATCAACGAAGAACAAGAGTTGATATCCTATTGGCGCTCGGCGCCCAGACTACATGTGGTAGATCCTATCTTCCAGCACCAGGTATGTCTCTGGCAACACTCACAACCCCGATCCACACCACACAGATGCCACTTGCACCCAAGGACCACCCTGCGTCACATCCAGCCTACAGCGGAGCAGCTTGGCTATAGCTGCCCGCTACCTCCCTGCTTGCCCGTGAGAGTGTGAGTGCCAGCCAGCCAGCAATGAGCGCAGCAGTGCTTGCGCAGCTTCCAGCCAGCACCCGAATGCCGAATGAGGAGGCAGGCCCTTCCCTATATCGAAGTGGCCTGCCTGCGTCCAGTCCAGGAAGCTTCCGGTAGGCCCCGGTAGGCACAGGCCCAGTCACGAAGAGAGCAGGCCTTGGGCCTGTGGTTGCATGCGCCCAACTGCTTTCGGCCTTTGTTTGGCCCGGTACCCGTACCCAGCCCAGGGCCTGCTTCACATACATTTACACAGGCGGCCCAGGGCCTGGATTCATTCAACCAACTGGCGGAACGCAACTGTCTGAATTTCCCCAATGCGGGGTACCCTAAAAAACGGGGCCCTGATGGCCTGTCGCGCCTGCCTTCACTTAGGGCGGCCGACCTTGCTGCATATAGGGCCCCGTAGGGGCTAAGCGGGCATAGCCTCGCATTCCCTCCTCCATATCTTTGTTAGTCCTCTGAGAAGATCAATCTGCAGCCATCTGGCGCTTTCCTTTCAATACATCTCTCTCATAGCGGGCCACGATTTGAGGAGCGGTCTGCATCAATTCCTCTCGAGTAAACCAGCGGTCCTCCTTCGGATCTGTATGATGTCTGAAGTGGACACGGAACTGCAACTTTGGCTTTGGAGGACGTCCCCTTCCTGGAGGCTTCTGAACATGCATCTCCCTGTGGTCAACGATATCATCGATGTCGACTTCTCCATCCATGGTTGGGGGCAGCATTGATCGACGAGAGGGAAACTGATCAGTTTCCTCGAATGCAGCGAGCTTAGAGGCGTGAAAGACTGGGTAAGTTCTGAGATGACCAGGGATACGGATGACATATGATGGACCATCAGGATCTGTCCCTACTATGTCTAAAACTTCCCAAGGTCCAAAGTACTGAGGCATGAGTTTGCGGGATATCCCGAACTCCTGTCCCAGTTCTGAAGACTTGACCCAGACTTTGTCCCCAACCTGAAACGTAGAAGGGCGGCGGTGTTTATTCTCAGATTCTATCATTGCTGCCTGCGCCTTCTGCATGTGCTCTACAGCCTCCTGCTTCTTCTGTTCATAATGATACGCGAACTCCAAAGTGTCCGGTGTAACAGTTGGTTGGTTATCAGAAATTAGGAAGTCTAACGGCAGTCTAGGCCTAAAGGTATGATGTAGACTGTTAGGACTTACCCCGATAGCGCTGTGTACAACGTTATTGTACAGACTGGCGACAAGAGCAAGCTTCTCGTCCCAGTCCACCTGGTTGGGCTTAATGTAATGCCTCAACAGGTGTTGGACAGCGCGGTTCATTTGTTCATCCTGACCGTTTGCTTCTGGATGGTTTCCAGAGGTCATTTGCAGTTGAGTTCCTTGTTCAGCTGCAGCGGCCTTCCATAATTCACTTGTAAATCCTACATCCCTGTCACTTACAATAGAATTAGGCAATCCAAAATCCCTCACCCACTTCTCTTTGAACAGCCTGATGACATACTCGGTCTTCGCTGTTTTCGGCATGACTATTAACCTAGCATATTTGCTAAGCCTATCCACGATGACGAAGATCTGCCTCATCCCACTCTTGCTGGTGACCAACGTATCCATGAAGTCCATGGACAAGCTTTCACCCGGCCTTTCCGGAATCGGAAGGGGCTTGAGCAGCCCAAGAGGAGCCTGAGTACGGGGCTTGTCCCGTTGACAAACTTGACAAGTCTCCACGTACAGCTGTGCATCTCGCATCATCGTGGGCCACTAGAATCGCTGCAGCAAGTTGGTTGCGGTCTTCTTATACCCGAAATGACCGGTGACATCATGACACTCCCCTAGAAACAAACTACGCAAAGACTCACTATTGGGAACACAGAATTGTTTATTCCTTGCCTTCTCAAGGAACAGCAAGCCATTAACCAACTCAAACTCGGCGGACGTCTTCTTGTCCTTCGCCTCAAGTCCGCGTATGATCTCAAACATAAACTGGTCCTCGCGATAGGCTTCCACCAAGGATTGAGTAACATTGTCCGTGAGACTGAACTCAGTAATCAGCGCACCTGAGAAGTCTTGTCTGCGTGACAGGGCGTCAACAACCTTGTTATACTCCCGTTTTAGATACTGAGGGTCATAGTCATATTGCTCAATGACTTCGATCCAACGCTTGAGAGCGTCAGAGAGTACCGGTTGGGTTCTCATCCATTTCAGGGTCTGATGATCAGTTCTGAGGATGAAGAACCTCCCAAGGAGATAGTGTTTCTAGTGGGTGAGAGCCTTGTACACCGCATAGAGTTCCTTCTCATAAGTGGACTTTGCCAACTTCTAAGAGGGCATTTTCTTAGACATATACTCAACTGGCCTCAACTTTGGCCCCTCCTGCTGCGCAAGCACGGCGCCAATGCCATATTGGCTAGCATCCGTGCTTACTATAAATGGCTTATCAGGATCGGGTAGCTTCAAGACTTCATAGTGCGTCAATGCATGCTTCAGATGTCTGAAAGCAGCCTCGCACTCATTTGTCCACTCCCACGGGGTGTCAAGGCGGGTCAGATCAGTCAAAGGAGCGGCTACAATGCTATAGTTCTTTACAAAAGTCCGGTAGTAGCCTGTCATTCCTAAGAAAGATCTCATCTCAGTCACAGACTGAGGTCGTGGCCAATCACGAATGCTGACCACCTTCGCGTCATCGGGCTTCAACCCTTCCGCGGAGATCTCATGACCCAAGTACAAGATGTGGGTGCAGCCAAACTCGCACTTTTCAACGTTGATCTTGAACTTGTGCTGTCGTAGGAGACTAAGAACTTTGTCTAAGTGTGCTACGTGCTCCTCGGCAGTTTTACTAAAAATAAGTATGCCATCGAGGTACACGACGACAAACTTATCCAAGTAGTCATGGAATATTCGATTCATAGCTTGCTGAAAGGTGCCAGGAGCATTGCAAAGGTCAAAGGCATCACCACAAACTCGTACATACTGTACCTGGTCTGAAATACGGTTTTGTGTTGATCCTCGGGCCGGATTGCAATCTGATGGTACCCCGACTTCAGATCTATCTTACTGAAGTACCGACACCCTTGCACTCTATCTAACAGATCATCGATGCGCGATAGGGGCTCTCTGTTCTTCACAGTGATGGCATTGAGGCCCCTATAGTCAATGCACATCTTGAGAGTGCCCTCCTTCTTCTTAGGTACGAATAGTACTAGAGATCCGTAAGGAGAGACACTCGGTCGGATCCAACCCTTCTCTATGAGTTCCTTGAGTTGGCGGCGAAGCTCATCAAGCTCGCCTGGAGACATCCGATAGATCCTACCCTTCCGAATACTAGACCCTGGGATAATCTCTATCGCGTGGACGACCTCTCTCTCAACAACCCCTGTGGGCTCCTCAAATAGATCAGGGTACTTGGCAACTACTCCATCTATCTCTGGCGGTAGTTTTACTGGCTCGCCTACAGTAGAGACGTAAACCAGATACATACCCTCCTCCGGATTTTGCTTATAATAATTGTAGAACGCGGCCGCACACAAGCATCCGTGGGAATCAATCAGACTACTAGCCTTAAACTTGTGTAATCTGGCGGTTCCCCCGTTTGGCAAAGTGTGTTTGACCACCTTTCGGTCCCAGTCAAACTGGGGCTGTGCTACGAAGAGGTAGTACATACCCGATAGCATGTCCATGGGGAGATCGTTGCTAACCAGGAATGAGACATGACGCCTCAGTTCTCCTCCCGCGTACGGGAAAAGACACTCTATGTCTTTTAGGTAGTCATGGACTACCATGCGCTGTTTGTTGGCGCAGATCGACTCCACAGGTCGACTTAGGCGCTGCACTTGCCCCTGTAAGCGCAGCCTCTTAACGCACGCGCGACTAATAAAGTTCCTAGTCGAGTAAGTGTCGTAATAGGCCCCGGCCTTGCGGCCTCCTATGACTACCTCGCTGACAAATATTTCACTCCTAGGGGCTCTGACTAACGCCGTCCAAGAAGCTAGTGGGTCTGATCTAGACCACTCATCCTCTAGCTCCTCTACGGATTCAAACACATTCATCGAACAGAGGGTCGATGAGTCTGAATGTGTTTGCGGAACGACTGAAGAGTCTGTAGCTTGGGCCATCTCTCGCAGAGGTGAGGGTGTATCCACCATTGCGACCCTAGTAGGAACAACTACTATTCCTACTGGCCCGACGTGTTTCGCGGAGCCGTGCCAGAACTGCTAGCAATGTTACTTCCAGCGGGATTAGAGGATCCTACTATCGACCCCATAATAGGTGGGATCTTCTCGGTGACCTTCCTGTCGCGACACTTATACATGCTATGACCATATTGGCCACACTTGATGCACGCTTGCCGTGCCCACCGATCTCTCCACACGTCCTCAGATAGACCCGCTTTCTCCCATGGAGGAGCATTGGGGTCTATTTGACTCTTCGACCTGGATCCCCTAGGGCGTCTACCGGTCCCTTTACCTTTTTGCTGGGTTACGGCGGCGAGTACTCCACCCTCTGAAGTTTCGTCACCCGCCTCTGCACCTACTCCCTCCTGGATGTTGCCGTCCAACTCAATGGTTGAACCATGGTTGTCGACGAACATGATGCGTCCCTTCGCCTTCCAGTTGGGAGGCAGTGTCTTTTTCCTCCTGTCCGTTGTGAGTGACTGTCCATACCCTATCTTTGCTTCAAGGTCTAGGGCTACCTTGCTGAACGAAGGAAAGTTGTGCATATTGATGTTGGCCTCTTTTGCCAACTGGTTTCTGAGAGGCTGAGATAAAGTCCTCAGGTACGAAGTCAACAGGACCTGCGGGTCATAGCGTACCCCTGGAACACAGATCAAACGCTCTACAGCGTCGGTGACCTCCCTTACTGACTTAAACTGCCTCGTGTGCAGTGTGAGGATCGCATCAGTGGCCTTTTGAGCCTCCTGAGGATCATGCCACCTCTCTTCCACCATCTTCAGGAAGTCCTCCATTTTCTGAGAGGCTGCCCAAAAGCGGAAATCATGACCGTATCCCTGGAGTTGCACTAACCCACTCAACCATCTTGCTGCACTACCCTCTAGGTAGGAAGCAGCCACAAACACTTCTTCGTGTGGCAAGGTGAGTTTACACCTGACGTAGACCGGCACTGCCTTCAACCAAGTGTCGAGGTCTTCGCCTCTCTTGTCCCCTGTAAAAGGTTTAGGAGCGACGATGGCCGTCTTTGGAACCCACTGATTTTGTCCCGGTCCCTGCACCAACCCGGGCTGTGGACCCGGTGATACAGGTTGTTGTGCTAGCTGCTGGGGCTGTGTGCCCTGCGGCTGCACAGGTTGTGAGACAGCAGGCTGTGTGGTGACTGCAACCAGTGACGGACTTGGAGTGAACACTGTCTGTACAGGAACCTGTAAACTACTGCCTGTTGTTACCCCTCCTGACAGCGGCATGCCCAGGGAAACGATAGCAACCATTGACGGGGCTACATATGGGGATACCCCAGTCACCTGTGGGACGAAAAAAAGAGGATATGGCACGGGCCAAGCACCAGGCCCGGCTGGTGATGGTGCTGCCTGAGCACGGCCAACCAACACGGCTAGGCTTTGTTGAATGTCTTGAAGGATGGTAGTTTGGTGCTCCTGCATCTCAATTACGCCTAGCAGGGCCCTCCTAACTACCTTCACATCATCATCCATATGTGTCAGGTCCATCATCTCTAATTCCCCTATGTCTGCCCCTCTTTGTTGCATCCTGGTTCTTCTTCTAATCATCATCTCTTTTTTCCTTTTTATCTGTCCTAATGCCCGATGTAGTTGTGCCTCCTGCAGAGCTGCCTGCTGGATGGCGACATCCTCCGGGGTCAACACCGCTGCCTGGCTTGCCATTAAGCCAGCGGACTGACCCACGGTCTGCGCGACCGTAGACCAGGTGGTACCTGAACTACCGGCTGGAGAAGTCTGCTGCGCAGAAGTGCTCATGGCTATGGTAGTCATGGCTGATGTAGCACCGGCCTCGCTAGCTAATGCCCTGCTGGCCTCAGCTGCTCTAGCTCTCCTCTGCTGCTGTCTCTCCCTCTGCCGACGGAACAGTTCCCTATCACCCCCCGGTCCTAGGGATACGTGAGTGATCGGGCCTCTAGCTGATCGCAAGACCCTTCGGTCATCCTCTCCGGTGTCTTCACAGTCGCTCATAGGCTACAACAATGTGCACTATCTACACTAGAACATTCAAGATGTCTACCACAGCATGGTGCACGGACCAACTAATTAGTGGTGGCTATTTTGGAACAGATCTCATTTGGGGTCAACAGGTAAGTCAGATTCCTACTGTCAAAACTATTTTTAGTAAGATTAGTTCTCAACAGAGGAAGCATCAGGAATAAACAATATTCTAAACTAATGCTGTCTGTCAGATGTCACATGGCTGTCCATCTAACTAATCAAAACAAAAATAATGTTGACTGACTGGGTTTGTTCATAGCATGGAATTTAAACCCGAACTTATCACCTGGAACCTACCCCTCCCTTTGTTCTTCTCAATGTCACGGTGTCACGTCCCTAAGCATCTGAAGCCAAGCGTGTCTGAAGATGTGCAATCCGGTCCCACCCCTGTGCCCCGGGTTATCGTCAAGCAAGGCAGCCACAACACTTTGATTTATCCTCGTACGCCGACGAGCCTTCCACTCAGATGATCTGGCTGATCAAGAGGCAATTTAACGTCCGCCCCCAAGTGACTCCAGGAATTATTTTACGTCCCAGCCGGACGACGATCACGGACAGATCAGAGTCGAGTCCCCAACCAGAAATGTTTATAGACGGTCTGGTAAGCGTCTTAAGAGGCTGCCACACTCGAGTTAACCCCTATCTTGCGCAAGCGGCAGAACCAACGACTTCAGCGAAGCATGCGTGCACTAGTCCCAGCGGGTTGGCATGGTGACCGTGACCCGAGTGCTTCATCCAGGGCCCTTCCAGAAGCTCCGCCCAACTTCCCCCATGTACTCCACGTGAACAATCACGACTCTCAAGGTTGAGCGTACACGACACCTCACGATGAGAGGACTCTTAAGACAGAACTCACAACCTCACGGTAAGAAGTGATGAAGAGGGTAGATAAGGTTAAGAGCAACGTACCTCATTCAAGCTGCCCCAAACCATAGAGATAATCTCATCAAATGATCTGAGAATGATTGCGATGACCAGTCATAGCATCGGCACAACCAGCATTGTCTCGCCGTTCCACCTCAGCCTCAATCACCCCACAGATAAACAGCGATTTCGTTAAAACGTACATTTTTTATTTTTTGCGCAAAATTGAAAGTCTTTTTTTTTCGATTTTTTGTATGTAATTTATTCAGTATGTTATGGGGTAAGGGGGTAAGGGGGTAAGGGGGTAAGGGGGTAAAGGGGTAAGGGGTAAGGTAATATGGGTAAGGGGTAAGGGGTAAAGGGTAGCAATGGTACGAGCTCAGCTGAGTAACACAGTAATGGTGTACAATCGGGCATGTCGCGCTGTTTCTTTGTTAAATACATCCGAACATGTTCATGGGTGTCTATCTAGCATAGCTGATAAACTCTTTACATTTTCACAATATGAAGAAGTGATTTGCTTTGATAATGCCGTCTATCATATGTCCTTTGTTGAACAAGTCACCCCTACTTTGGTATGACAAGTATATCTAAAGCGATCCGTCCCCTTATATCCTGGATGTCATCGAAAAAGAAGTTGAACGGCGGGAGAAATCCTCTTGCCAATACTGATGCGTACGTTAGCATAAACACACCGCATTCGTTAATGCCGCGCTGTCTAGAAATGCAAAACACATTCCATATGTAGCTGAGATCTTTTGTATCTACCACCTTACCCTGTTCAACTGATCTTTCGAACAAAAATCTTGCGAAACCACCTGTCACTTTCCTTGCGAATTCTTTGTCAGGGGTAAGCGAGTCGTAGTACTCTATTTTCGGGCGTCTCAAGTTCGCTATTACTAGTGTCCAATGGTTGGACATCCGAACATGGAATGGAGCTATTATTAAGTCTACGTTGCTCACATCGATATATGTCATCCACTTTCGCACTGCGCTATATTTGTATTGCATATTGTCATCGAACAATTTCGCGAAGAAGAAGGAACTAAAAATTGTTGTTATCGAGATGCGCTCTTTTTCTTCTACTACAGTTCCGTCTTGTCCACTGTCACACTCGCGATGGCTTATGCGACACATGTTGTTAAGCCTAACGAGGTTCAAATAAAAGTTAACTATTTCTTTGTTCAACCATTTGCCTTGAAGCACTATCAAGCTCAAATCATGCCCGGTTAGTGTTAGTTCTTCTTTTGTTGCCCTGTTGTACGTGGATGTCCAGACCGTTTGATTCTTTACTTGCACTGAATCTCGTAAACGTTGTATCGCGACCTTCTCCTTCTCCGACAACTTATCCGTCGCTAAGTGGATCGTCCATCCCTGTTTGCATCTTCGTACTTCTTCTATGTTCCTCCTTTCTGCACATGACAATGCATTATGCGCCAACGTAAGCTATCAATATTGGGGCTTGCCATATTTGCATGCCCGAAATGGCCTTCAAAATTTCAATTGCTAAATCCTGCCAACATGATACTATATCCAGTATACATAAACACCCCGACCTCGACCCTTCCGTGTAATTTATCGATCAACGAAACTTATCGCAATCTATGGTGGTTATCGGTAACCCTGCTTCCATCTGTTCACTGTTGATCATGTTCATTACTATTGGTAAAATTTTCAAAATAAGTTCATAATATTCACAGTACGCTACAAGATGGCACAACAAGTTCTTTGAAATCTTAGGTGTCATTTGCACATGACAGGCAAAGTGCCCTATATAGTGTGTTTTCATATGCCTTCATTATAAAACTGTACCAAGCACGTGCACATAATTTAGTCCACACACAGAACCTGGCGCTGCTAACGAGTCAACCTCTGCGTACTCAAACCCAGACACACACACACACACACACACACACACACACACACACACACACACACACACAC